GGTAAGACCACTGCCGCATGGGCCAGTCCATGGCGTACGATTAACTGATGCGCGTTGGTTGTCCTTGACATTGACGAGGATTGATGATTTTGTTCGATATTCAATGGCTAGGGCTCAGTGGAATTTCACTGGCCCTACAATACTCCCCCACCAGATTCAACGGCCGTTTGAATCGGTATCAAACATGCCTGTAGTCGCGCGCCGGAGATTGCCAAACGATTAATATGAATCCTCTGGGTATTGCCGAGCTGCAAAACAAATGGAAACGAGGCGGCAGAAACTGATCGAGAAACAGCAAGTAATAATATGTTAGTAGAACGTTGGTTGAACGTAAAGCCATTAACCATAGAAATAATAAAAAGAACTTAACGTCGCGCTGAAGTATATAGCTTTGACAAGTAATTGAGTTTCTCAGATGAGAAACATTAACTTTGTCGCAAGAGCAATGATGCTATAGCGATAGTAGGATAAGTGTATTATCAATCGATACGGATGTTTATACCGCCATTGATTTAAAGATGAATGTCAGACAGTGTTGTTGACAACTTCTAGCTATATCTATATTTAACAGACTAACTGTAAGTACAGAAGTATAGTCGTGAAGAGTAATCGTGATTTCGTCATGCGAGGCTACTAATCCACTTGTAGTAAGTTTTGAAAGTCGGTGACTGCTGTTACAGTCAGTAAGGGTCGAAGGCTACAAATCCAGAGCAAAGACGGCACTGTGAAGTCTCCAAAAGATGATAAACGATGCTTGCTGCTTGTTTGTTCGATTAGCGAATAGAATAATATCGAAAAGACCATAAGAAACCAAGAGTGTTACTCTGGACTCATGTCAATGATACCAGTGAAACGCGCTGTCAGTGTTGGGATAGAGGCGACAATGTCATTTTCAGTGTGCAGGAGATTCGCTCGACTGTACAAACTGATGATTTGCGCAGATGATAATGTCGTCAGATCACCAATTGAACTGGACAGGTTTTAAATCGTCGAATAGTTGAGCAGCCGATTGATGTACCGAAATCATCTTTTAGATAACAGACACGAGGAAATACTTCATAATATAAAGTACGATATCGAAGTAGAATAACTACAATAGTTCGGATGTATTATAAAGTCAAATTTAAATAACACCGTTCTTACGTATACTGATAGTTGCGCTGAAGGTTCGTTTGGGTATTATTAGCGTAACAGTTGGACGTTTGGAGAAAAGTATATACGAAAACTATGGTTGGGTTCGTGGAGAATTTTCGAGGACTTTTAGATATTTTACAAACCATTATTGCATACAATTAAATCGAAAATGCAATTAAAATGACTGTCGTGTAATAAGGAGATCGAGCCATGATTTACCGTGTGAAATAATAGCAAATATAAGGAGTATAGTAAACATTAATTAAAATGGTAAACACCAATGTAACTAAAGTTTAGAGGGTTCAGGTAACGTGGCCATTTCGTACAAGGCTAATGCAAGGAGCTTGTTACCTAGCGTTAAGTGACATATTACGTACGACAAAGTGTCTACTCAGGACATGAAATAAGATTGTTCGTGTACATGCAATATGTTTTACCATAGTATGTCGATTAACGAGTCACAAATGTACATGATTTCGACTAACACTTAACGGAAGTGACAGAATATATGACTACTTAACATGAAAGCAACTACGAAATGTTATTACACATCATAAAGATAGTACGAAATAATCTAATGATTTTATGAAACTCGCCTGTGTTACTCTTGCTTCCAAGTAATGAAGACACGAAGTGGACAGTAGTTGAAATCTGGATTATATACGAGGTACTGTTGATTAGATTCTTCGATTAACACAGCGTTGTAGACTAAACTAGTACAAGTCCAGAATAAATTCAAGCCAAATACGTAGCATTGCCTGACGAAGTCTAACCGAGATCTAAGATTGCAGAACATTTATAGTTTGAACTCACCGTAAATTTCTAGCATTTGTATCCTCTGTTTGGCCATGGAACTCGGCAATTGGAAATTAGGCAGGCGGTGGTCAAAAATAGAAATATTCTAGTGGATAGAGGTTAAGCAGGAAGACGAATTTAAAGTCCACAGTTAATCTTTTCTCGCATAAACTATTGGATAAGTTACAAACCGATGTGCGTTCGCGTTGTCTTGTAGCTATACCCATGAGTGGTTGATATTTTAACAGACATATTACACAGGAGCATTTACATGCTGCTAATGCTTGTTAAAGAACCACGATAGCCGATTATAACCGTAGTTGACTAGTTAGTTCAACCTACTGAACTAGTTATTTCAGTTTAAATACTAATCAGCATTGACATGAAGCAACGAAAGTTCACAGTAACAGATTAACATAGGCGATGATAAAAATGGAAATGAATAAGTATAGATTGCAATAATAAAGACTATAATGATAGGTTGCGTTATTCGCAGTCTGTTATTAATTCTAATACCAATGACTAGGTTCTAGATATTACAATTCACTGTCGGACAGAGGATGAACTTAAAGAGAAGACGTACAATCGATTAGAGAAACTTAGACTCCAATTTAAGCTCTGGTGAATGTGCAGTTTGTATGAAATAATGATTCCTTTTTACATGATGACTGCTTGATTTCGAATTATAAGTACAACGCAGTCGTTCGTGCTCATATAGTATTTCTTGATTAAATTGCGTTAATTCTGGGATTCCTAGTTTGTAATATAATTCAAACACTTCAAGTTATCACAGTGTCATGAGACTGAAAATGGAATTCAGCTGTCATTCATATAGTAATGAGGTCACAAGTACTTTTAGCACGATGTTTTACAAAGTAGCTGAACACTGAAGATTTTTATCACCTTACTATGTCATTTTATTAGTTAGTAATTAGAAGTTTATGTTTACTCCATGAACAATGGTCTGTTTATAGGTTGGAAACCTCTAAAACATTCTATCAACCTTTTGATATTTTGCGAAGAAAGGAATTGAAATACCATTGCACATTGAGGATATTTGTGCCTACATAATAAAATGATTACGTCCGCAGAACCAAACAATTGTCCAAATGGTTCGGAATGGAAGAAAAGCTTTTGCTTAACATGCTTTAGTTTCTAGTAGCAGTGAACCGCCAATGCCTCCTTATCGAAACCTAGGTATATTTAACGATGAAAATGAAAATATACGTAAATTATGATGGATACTGAGCCTTCAAGAATATGTCAAGTTTTTTCTGAAATCACTCCTGGGAAGTAACTTGCTCTATCTAAGCTGCCAAGTTCGACTATTCGTATGGACTTTAGGGCCAGTGAAATGTCACTGGACCTTAGCCAAATCCCCCAGTAATTGAGACGCTAAGTCTCGAAAAGTTCACCGATCCTCGTCGAGGTCAAGGACAATCAATGCACATCAATTAATTGCACGTAATCAACTGGCCCACGCGGTAGTTGTTGCACCCTGTATGTATTGGAGATTTTTACAATCACAAACAGAATTATCTGATACAAAATAGCGTACTATATAGCCAAAAGTGATTGATAAATACAGCTGTTCAACACCTGACTCTTAACAAGAGTATTTTCGGAGAAATGGGATCAAGGTTTCGATTCCAAAGAGTTAAATCAAACGAAGAACATTTCCAGGAGATGGTTAAAAGCTACAAAAATGAGTCTTTTAGTCATGTAACCTTGATTTTAGTCAAAAAGGACCTAATTTCCAATGGTCCTAATGATTTCACCGAATTTGTTTGCTCGACGGCGCCAACGTGTGTAAAACATCTATGACCGAGAATCCCAAAGGCAATCAATCTGGGAGTAAGGAACGAAGGGGTTTCAAGCAATAGTTTTCGACGGTTGGAGATGAATCGAGAAATATATGGTCCGGGAAGACTAGTTGTTTTGTGATTGGTAGCACGGCCTACCGAATCTGGAACTGATGATGGTCAATGACTGATTGCCATCAGCTAGGGGTTTGTCTAGTAAAATTAAGTGGGTATCAATGTCGAGGATTCACAAAACTGTTTTATCGTGTGAACTTTATTAACGCAACAGTCAAATGCCATGCAATAACAAAATCAAGTGATAAAGGCAAATATTAATCAAATCATAAAATCATGGTCAAAGAAAACAAAGATACATTGAAATATGTTTGCACGAGTCTTGGATAAAACTTACCAAGCAGAATATCGAAAGTCTTTAGGAACGGTAGTACTGCCAAACGAGACACGGGGAATTTTCGCAGCATTAATTGAAATGCACATAGCCACTTGGTCAAATGGCAATGTTGACTTTGTGGAGGTAAATAAATCCCCAAAATAAATAGCTCTGTAAGTCTTCGCCATTTGATGCTGACCACATGAGTTTTTATGGACTGACCTAGCTGAAGGCGTTCGGTAAAGCATACGCACCAGATCACGTGTAAGAACACCGTGCTCAATATCTACTGCAATCGCTAGCCAGATTAGTTCAGACGATCATCGATATATTGATGGCGTATCAAACATATCTTCGAACCTCCTCCCTTCCGTCCTTTGATTTCACTTGGTGAGCACAATTCATACTAGGAGGTGTTACTTGTTAAAGCGTTGTAAAACTCCGAATACCTCTGGCATCTTCAACCTTATTAGTTTCGCTAGACACACGCTAAGTTGGTGACCCTCGGTCACAAACGCACCAGATCATGTGTATGCCGTGCTATTCATGCCCTGGAACTACTATTCAGCTTAGATCAACCATTTATCCCTGAATTCCTACTTGACTGGGTTGGTATTTTTCAATTATATAAGTGTTACAGACCAAAGCGTCGTCAAATCCTGAATATCTACGGTATCTTTGACACTTAAGTATAAAAAAGCAGATAGCACTGATAATTTTTAAACCTTTTATTTGAGCCATTCAAAAGTTCGAAAAATAACTTTTACGTCTGAATGAGTTATTACGAACGATAACAAACCTGAAATGTATGAGTTCATCATAATAGGTCAGGATAAACAAACAAATCTGAAAGTGCTTCGAGAAAAATAATGAGTTAAGGGACTGTATAGTACATTCTCGAACGCATGCGTCACAACTTGCTGTGCTTCCAAATCTATTTGATTCTTGCATTATCTTGAGGTCATTAGCTGGAGGGGTGTTTAGATGGGGCGTTACGTTGATGTATTCAGGCCGAATAAATTATGAGTTTGCAGGTTCAGTGAACAAAGAATGGGTATGGAAAGGTAAGTACCATTTAATCTTTAATTAAGAGATAGATAACCTGTATTACTTTCACTCGCTGAAGGTCAAGACAGAGTTGTGTTATCACAGCGGTTGTGTAAGTTTACTGTCTTCACTAACCTCGTATTTTAGGTCAATACTATCTGCTGGGATGATCGTGGAGAGTATATTTTGTCGGGTTCAGATGACAGATGTATCGCTATCGCTAACGCTTTTTCACAGGTTTACTCTGTTAACTGTATTAGTTTAACAATAACGGTTTCTTTTGTCAATCAGGATTCTGAAGGTCAAGACGTCTATACTTTAAAGTTGCCCGCGTACAGTAATATTTTTACAGCGAAGTTTCTCCCTTTTTCTTATGGAAGCGAAGTAACGTTCAAGTCAAACGTTTTATTATCATAGATAGTTGTTGGCTTTAAATGCGGTTGTGTTACCCATGTTAATCCTAATTCTAGTATAAAGGATAGTCTCAAGAACGTTTTCTGCCACACTTTTGCTGTGTATGACGTGAGTTTAAGTCTATGAATGTTGGCTGCATTTTACTTTTGGTTTCTGTTTCCACTTGTTATTAATCGCGATAACTGCCTTTATGTTTAGGTATATTTATATCCCTATTCGTTAGTCAGTGCTCCTATGAAAATCTCGTTTTCGAACCAAGCTGTTACACGCCGATTAGTAGGAGTGCTAACTGTTCCAGTCACTACTGGAAGTGGAACGCTTGAAGAAACTACTATTTCTTTTCGAAAACTACTTACTGTCTGAATGGTAAAACGGCATAATAGGTTTTGTCTAGGTGGAAACGAGGAGTCCGTTTAATAGCCAGATAATTCGATTCCTGTCTAGCTGTGTATTTCTCATTACTGGATGCTTTTGTTACCGAACACCAACTCAGGTGGTAGTTGTTTGTGTTGTTGCTAGACATTAATTATAAAATGTGGACGAGGAAATCTACAAAGTGATAGATAAAGGGCATGCACTTTTGGTAAGATGTCTAGTCAATTAAATTTTTAAGCGTCTGTATAAGGAAAATTCATAGTCATTGTCAGAATTGCTTTATCTTCATTAGTGTCCAGTCTCAGTGCTTGAAAATACTTTCTGTCCTGTGTACCTATGATTGCGATTAGCTCACATTGCTAAAGTGTTCACTCAAAAAATGGATCAACTACCTCTATTAGGAGCACCAATAAAGCCAATTAGATTATCAACATGAATGAAAATTCAGTTATCACTAACGAAACTTAAAACAAAATTAGGTAGTTGCATTTTAAACATACCATACATTGCCTTGTTGTTTGGTTGACCAAAACAATATCTATTTGCTTTTCAAATGTTCCATACTTTTGTTTGATTTTCTACCTTTTTACTTACACTATATCATGGTTGTTTTACAAACGTTTTGATGTTATTTTCAGATTCTTACTTTGCGAGAAATGCCCACGTGCTTTATAACACTATCTCATGACCATTCAGCGACTATTCTGGATACCAGAACCACCTCCGTGCGCAAGAGTCCGAGTTGTAGTCGGGGATGCTTCAACAACACAAACTCACCATGGGTTTCAAATTTTTCTGTTGTCAATCAGTTAAAGTTTCATTTTCCAGTAACGGCTGGTGATATCCATCCTTTGAATGGATGTCGTTCAATTGCGCTGGCAACTGCCGACGGTTTTGTACGTCTTTTCGATATTCGGAAGCTCGTTTCCACTTGTAAGTTCACCATTCAATTAGTACCCAATAATAAATTCACAGTCATTACCGTGATCCTTCATCTTCAGTCTGCCTATGCATGCTCAGTTACTTACTATATAGCGTCTAAGTTCAATGAAGCGTTGATTTAGTAGTCTACGGGTTCAACTTTCGACCACTACGCCCCAGGTTCGAACCCCTCCCCACCTTGCTTCCGTTCGTGCGACCGGGTAGTATCATTTTCCCTCACACTTGGAGTGTGGTTCACACTTAAGTACCTGATTGGGTTGTAGTAATAAACGTTTATGACAAATCAAAAGGCAATATACTGACCAGTTTTCTTACTAGTAATAACCTTGCAGACACTCGATATTATTAGAGAACGTTGTTTTTTGATAGTAGTTGCGATTATCAGAGCTTGTTCACTTAAATTTTTACTTAACATTCGTTTAATTACGGATTCATACTGTTTTAGTAACTAACGTCTGATTTTACAGTGTCCTCTTCCGCAGCTGTGGGCGACCCACCCCAACCAATGCCATTTCGTGTAGCCAGACCTCTTGGTTTACCCGCGAAGATAAATTCGACCAAAACGTTCAGATTAGATTATGGACCAGGTCATATAACGTCAGTCAAGTTTGAACCTATCTATGACAAGGATCATACTCAGTTTTTGTTACCTACTAGCCGTAAACAGTCACTTTCGTCGGACCTTGGTGGGAAACATTTACTTGTCAGTCATATGTATGCCCCTATTTTTTTGTATGATCTTTATTCAGAAGAAACGCTTAGCGACTCTGAAGTACAGGTATGTTTCTATTGTGTTTTTATGTAACAGTTTTTCAAAACCAAAATAAATTAGCATACTTCTACTTGATTTACTTTCCCTCACTCTGTAAAAATACTCTTTACAACTCCTGGATTTATTAGGTTTCCCTCCAACTGTATAATTATCTCAGATCGTTGTAAGTGATAAAATGATATTTAAACTTCCTTAGTGTATCATGGAAGTGGTTTCACAATTAAGCTTACAGACGATCTACCTCTTGTCGCTTTTGCTTTTATTTATTCAGTAACCTTTTCTACCGTAGAGCTCTTTGTTTTGTAGCTTTTGCGTTTGTTTTCAAATAACCTGTTACTGTAGTTGTTCAATACTGTAATCGTGCTCTTCTAAAACACAACTTCAACTCAAGAGCGTCAGTAGATGCTACATTGATATCTCCCTTTATATTAATAAACCTGTCATGAAATATTAGTTGGCATTCATCTTTTAGTTTTCATACTCCAATCTTCTAACTATTCATTTCGTTGGCGTTCAAGATGTTATCATAGTAATTATTTTTATCGGGTAACTAAGTGATTTGATCATATTTAAAATCTCGGATTACTTTACGGTGCAATCTCTTCTAGCCTTTTTGATACATATATATTTAAATGATTAAGATCATGAGTCAGTTGAAGCTAGACCACCATGGAAAACCTGGAAGCACTGGACGGCCGTTTCGTCCTATTATGGGACTCCTCAGCAGTGCGCATCCACGACCTCGCCCCCTGCGAGATTCGAACCCAGGACCTACTGGTTTCGCGCGCGAGCACTTAACCACTAGACCACTGAGCCGGCATCCAACGGTGTTAATGTCTAACTTCAACTAATCCACGAAATTGAGCGACACATCCACCATTGTCTTCAGTGAGTTACTATCCCACAACAGACCTGGTTGAACTCCACTGGTCACTACTTCTCACTAGAACTCCAGGATATACCTCTTGAAGCCAGTCACTAGTGAGCATATGTTGACTCATGATCTTAATCATTGAAATTACTACAATCTCCACAAAACCCCTTCTGATAATAATCAACATATGCTCACTAGTGACTGGCTTCAAGAGGTATATCCTGGAGTTCTAGTGAGAAGTAGTGACCAGTGGAGTTCAACCAGGTCTGTTGTGGGATAGTAACTCACTGAAGACAATGGTGGATGTGTCGCTCAATTTCGTGGATTAGTTGAAGTTAGACATTAACACCGTTGGATGCCGGCTCAGTGGTCTAGTGGTTAAGTGCTCGCGCGCGAAACCAGTAGGTCCTGGGTTCGAATCTCGCAGGGGGCGAGGTCGTGGATGCGCACTGCTGAGGAGTCCCATAATAGGACGAAACGGCCGTCCAGTGCTTCCAGGTTTTCCATGGTGGTCTAGCTTCAACTGACTCATGATCTTAACCATTGAAATTACTACAATCTCCACAAAACCCCTTCTGATAATAATCAACATATATATTTATCAAACAACTTTAAGTACGAATGTCCAGCTTAAGTAAATGATTTCGTTGAAACGAAAATTTTCTTTGTTGAATTCTCTTTATTTTCATCCAACTAAATGACCATTAATTTTTTGGGCTGCTATTTATTAAAGCGACCTGATTGGCTACCGAATACGGATACATGCAGTGCATCATCGGAAACAGAATCTCTTCGCTCATCGGAAGGTAAGATTTCACACGAGATTTATAGATTTGGTTTCAATATTGGTAAAGAAGCCGTTAGTCTTATATATCAACTCTTGTGTTACTAGCATGTATCACAAAAATATATCACACGTTCTCTCACTGTTACGATTCTTTTGTATGCATTTACTTCATTTGTCACATAACTGTAAGAGTTATAATGCAAATATTTAGTAGCGAGGATCAATAAGTATGATAATTAATGAGGAACTGAGTACTCACTATTTGAATGTTGCTAGCCACTTCAACCGTTTTCATACACCACATTGTTGTTTATGTATTCGAGTCCAAGATGGATTTCTCAATATGACACTCCAGTAAATAACCCTCTGTTACCTAGTGGTATGTAACCGTTCTTTTCCGATCAAGTCGGAAGTAAAGGGTACTTGTGCTGATACGAACTATACAAGCCTCATCATACTTTTATATATAAGGTTTCAGGTTTGCATCCTAATAGTAATAGCAATTACATATTGCTTGTGTATGATCAATATGAACTCACAGTTATATGATGGAAAGGTCATGTTGGTTAGCTCATAGTAAATCTATTCAAATATTGTATTATTTGTCTGCCCACTGTAATTTAGACATTTAATACACTATGTAAATTTCTGTGTGAGTCTGATTGAGCGCGTGTCTACACATCATTCTTTAATTTATTCTTCCAATGGTTGTAACACACAGACAATCAATAATTTATCCACAACCAATTAACACCCACAAATATAAATGGGTTTTTAACACACACAAACACATACTCCATTGATTTCCCTGTGTGTTTGCTTCCTGCACACTTGCGGATTTTACCAATCTTTAACAATAGACTGTCCCTATAACTGGTATTCAGGCTTCTGGATAATCTCGAGTAAATCCATAATTCTACTAGGAGATTTAGCCTGCATTAAATACTCAGTTAACGGGATACTATTCATTAGAGTCAGATATAGAAGAAATTAGCCCCTACAAGCTCACCAAAGTTTAAAGATATTAAAGGTAATTAAAATCACCCTACTGTTTACATAAACAGGAAATCTTCAAGTGTACCTACTTATCTATGTACTATACATAGACATTAAGATTTTATTCTAAAACTTATTTATAGGTCATGGTTACTCAGTTAGGATATTCATTTGATGCTTGTCTGTATTTTATTAATCGTTAGATTACAGTCTTCATAAATTATGAATTTCTACATGACTTTTGATCTGAAAGTCCACTAATCGTCGATGAAATTTTGTTTTTATTTTTGTTTCAGATAGCCTTATTTCAGATCCGAATATACGTTTAACTGTTGCTCTCTATCGGTAAGTTTCTTATTACTTTGTTAGATGAAATGCAAATTTAATTTCCTACTACTTCTATGAATTCTATTTTTATAGATTATGACGAAATCACTTCACTATTTAATGTATTGTTTTTTTCTATGGACACTATCATTACTTACAACGTCTAGGCATTTGAAAAGTGTATTAGGGAATTCGCCGTATGTAACGTGGGATATTTCAAATTACCTTGGGGAGAAGTTATTATGTGTACCTCAACACTTGTCCTCAAAAATTCTAATAACTCACGATATAAATATCTACGTGATTTCTGTAATAAACCCTCTTTATTCAGATCAATAAATTACTCTCACACACGCTTGACTCCTTGTGCGTGCAGTGAGTAAAATACGTGGTTCGAAGAAATTCACTACCGCGAACCCAGGGTAGTAAGCAAGTGGTTTGCAGCATGACCGAAAATAACAAGCACTGACTTTAAATTTTATATAGTTTGATCCATCGACAAATTTATATAAAGTGCGAAGAATAAGATTCTCGAAATGATATGAATTCATCATATTCCAAAGCTTTTCATCACCTGCTAACGGCTCAAATTTACATTTGTAATATTATTATCAAAAGGTTTTGATACATACCATAATCATTGAAGCTGGGCTTGAGACGGCATAAGAAACAAGAGGATATATGTTAAACATAATAGTTGAGATCGATTAGTATTTGTGTTGAAGATGAACTATGAAGTCTAGTATAATGCTGACGTATCATTGCTCATCATTAACCAGTAACACATCCGTGATTGAATCAACTGGTTTTTATTCCATAACCCTTATAAAAATCCACCACATTTAAGTAGTGCGTCAGTAACACAGAAGTCAAGTAATAAAGTTATGACGGGTAAACTGCGAAAAACGTTAATCTTATTCCCGAAAAAGTATCTTTCTAGTATTATGAATGTTTAAAGTTACCACACAGATCTCTCTACTTTTCTATAGATAATTAATATGATGTTATATCTTCCAGATGGCTCACTCAGCATCGATCCAGAACAGATGAAAGTGCTGTGGATGAAGCATCGACTGAACCTCAAACAGCGTCTTCAAGTCCTGCCGAATCAACAGCTGGTCAAACTTCTTACACAGGTATAATACAGAAATTGATTATTTATTGTTGTTTCAGATGCTTTTTTATTAGGGTTTGAAATGACACATATGTTTCTCACGATTTTTGGAATTAGTGTATTTAAAAACCAACAATTTGTGAGTGATGTGGTTGCGTAGATACTTTTATTATGGTGTTATGTCTTCACTGGCCTTTTTGTACTTTAAATTTGAGTTGCAAAGTAAATTATTGGCATTTTTGTTGTTACAGTAGATTATTACTTTTTATATTATGTCCATATTCATCTTCGTCAATTGTTGTTCTTTACTTTAGGCTCTCAGCGTGAACAAAAACTCCCTATCGATTACTTAACAGATGCATATATTTCTGACGTCATAAATTCTTCTCCAAGATGTCGCGAAATAATGAAATATTGTGGTCGTGAATGCTGTAGTACTGTGGTATGCTGTTTTCTAAGTACATTTATTTCTGTTAATACTATTCACGTTTAGTTGTATGCTAATCCACTCCCTCAAACCAAATCTCATCCGTTATATTTGAATTATCCTTAACACTGAATGATATTGTACCATAAGAATATTTGTGTACGATGATATTCAAGTTTGAAAATTCTGATTTATCTAAAATCTCTGATAGACAGATGTTGCAAGTTATGGTTTGAGAGATCATAAAAATATCAGCCAATTGCTTAGGTGCTTAACTTCGTATGAATAAAGCGTGTAAGTTCATATAGAGTTGAATTTAATACGTTGCTGTAGTAAGATGTAGCTTTTGTTTATTTCTTACCACATTACTGTATTTCTAGATCTGATTACATTTTCCTAATCTCTTCAGATTCAGTTCCTATCAATCTGTTTTGTAAATTTCTAGCAGGTTATAAATTACAGTGTGTTGGAGCACTCTAATTTGCCCATTTTTAGCTAGTCAACGTTAGCGGACAAGTGTAGAAGATAGTGGGACTATAATTTACCGAAGAATCAATAGGATTTAAGATAACAAGCCTTGAATTTCGGCTCAAAATTTATTCATGTGGTTAAATAGTATTTTGGCATTGTAACTGTTATCAGTTCGTAATTAAAACTGTGACTATAATTCTAAAACGATAACTTGTAACTTCTGATCTTAGTCCTTACACTCTCGAATTTAGCAGGCAGTTGAATTTTCTCAAGGTCACTTTGGCCCCACTCAAAGTTTGTCCACAAATAGACTCGCCAAGAAGACAAGAGTATTTTGGTTCAAAAATAATTAATAGGTCAACTTTTTTCTTATTGTATGAACTTAGCTATCTGCTTTTGAAAAACATGATCAAGAACAGGGGAATGTGTAGTTATTGCGAGATGTTGCAAGGCAATACATATACATAGCTTTCAATCGTCCATTTGCATCTTCCGATATGTTCCGCCAATGCCGTACTTCCTCTGTACTAAAACTGTTCACTCTGTTCGACAACTGCGAGACTACGTTCCGCAACATGCTACTTACAAGCAATGTTGTGACTAGCATCCACTGCGCTTTGTTTTAGAATTTTAATCTACTTGCATGTATCATGATTTACTTAATTTTTCTACTGATTGAGTCAACGGTTAGACATCTTACCTTTATATATTATGTATTAGATAATTATATTATATTACCATATTTTATTTACAGGTCAAAGTGTCAACATTTTGGGGGCGGAATTTTATCCTGTCCGGATCTGAATGTGGTCATTTAATTGCATGGGATCGTAATACAGGAAAGCCTGTACTTGCAATTAAAGCAGATACATCTGTAGTAAATCGAATTATTCCTCATCCTCGTTTTCCAAGTTAGTTAACATTACCACTAGTTTAGTAGATTATGTTGGCGTGCAATCTTTTGTATTTTAAACTACTTCAAATGCGTAGTTTAACAGCCTTTCCCAACAATAAATGTTTGTTTATTTTATGGTTATAACATAGGTTAAAAAATTCCTCCTTTGCTTTTTATTTTTTCGTGTCATATTTGTCACTCGTACAAATTGAACTAAAGACAGAATACCTACTTGTATTTGTTTATTTTGTTGCTTTAACATTAATATTTTAATCTTCCAATCCTTTAATTGATTTAGTGATTGCTGTCAGCGGAATTGATCGGTCCATAAAAATAATTGAACCTGATCCAAATGTATACGACGATGGTGATGACCATGGTGAATCAGCGTTTATGAAAGTAGTAAAACAGCATGAAGAAGAAGCAAGTCAGGTCTGTTGACATGTTTGTCTAACTTTATCAGTATTCTCTGCACAGATAGACAAGCACAAAACGAAACTACTGTGTGGTGTTAATTATTATATTGTTGTATGTTAGATTGTGTTTTCTTACCACTCGTAACGAAAGTTGAAAATCTAACCTATATTATCAATTACTAAAATATCCGGGAGAAGTAACGATTATTTAATTGACATCACTATCCTGAACTACTGACTTTGGTGGCTTGGTTGTGTTAAGAATTTAATCCCTGTGACTTCCACATCGTATATTATCTGATGCTATAACGCGGTTCGGAGGGAAGTGGTATTTTGCGATATTTTATGATATGGCAGTGTAAGAAAAGTGTGAGATGATTTCCCGATTTAGCAACCAAGAGAAGGTAAATTAATATCGAAAAACTAGATAACTAGTTTGGAAACTTAGAGTCGCTCTTTTTTTATAACAAAATGACAGACTTATAAGCAAAGTCTATGACCTGATTTGACTGAAAATCTACAAATTAACGTTGCATACACTAATAGAAACCTCAAGTCTCTTATTGACTGTCAAGATAAGAGTACATATTCATTTTAGCTGATGAATATTTAACTCATTTGTTTATTTGTTTACTAATTAATGTTATACAGTTATGTCAGGCAAATGAAATAAGAACAAAAAAAATGTTAAGTTCTGGTAATAATCACTTGGATAGTATCGCACGTCTACGAGCTGGTCGTGGTGAGTTCAAATTTTAATTACTTTGAATTTCTTATTTCATCATATAACATATTTTACTTTTATAATTGGCATCACGAACTGACTTTAGACAACCATCGAAAACCAGGAGCACAGGACAACTGTTTCTGTTATGGGGCTTCTTTGTAGTGTAAATCTACAATCCCACTAAGAATCAAACTCGGGACGTTCATATTTCGCGTCATCTCAACCTTTAGACTATTAAACCAACATTTTGTGGTTTGCATGTCTTGCGTCAATCAACTCACGACATTCTACAACCATCTTTCAATGCTATCTGTAGTTAACTGCTTTACACACAAGGTAGTTGAACTCCACTGATCAAGTCTTTACACTAGGTGTCCGAGAAATACCTCTCGAAATTATTCACAAGGGAGCAGATAATTATGATTAGTATAAGTGTCGAAACAACTGTCCAGTACTTCATGTTTCTCAATGTATTGTAACTAAGGTCACTCCATTATGTATATTATAGAATTCAGTATTCTGTACAAACCTCCTCTGCTAAAATTTTCGTAGACTTCTCTTCATTCAAGTGTGAATATGGTGATATATCTCGCATCTTAAATTTGAAGTAAATATCGAACCAATGTAGTATAACAATTATTCAAAGAGCTGTCTTATTTCTTGAAACAGCTTCAAATGTAACCCTGTTATCGATCAACTTCATAATGACCTTCGCAATATCTCTACTTCAACCAACACTGTATAATCAGTCAAATAATTACGATCTGTCCTACTTTATCTCGGAGTATTGTAGTTCTTAATCTCGTAACCTCATTTTTGCATACCTAATTTCAGTGTTACTGGTTTAATTGCTTCACTGTATATAGAAAGTAAATTTGAATGATATACTTACAATTTTGTCGAGATTTCTGTCTTCACAGTCATCTTCTTTCAGTTAAACAACAAAATGAATATCATTAAATCAGAACTGATTTAGTCGTATAATTAAATTTATTAATATAATCAACAACATTTTTTCACTGGCCAGGGGTTGATTTTGAACATGATTAGGATTTTTAAACATTAGAAAATCGAATATTTTCGACAGTCGAGTTTGTATTGTCCAGTCTATAAATATTTAAATGCATTTTCTGTATAATACGGTGAATTCACAGTGAGAGATAAAACAATTCAATCAGAATGATTACAGCAGACTATATAAAAATTGATCATCTTATTGGCAATAAGTGTTTAGCACACTCTCATTTAATTTAGAAATATGATATATAAAAACAATAACTGAAGCTTTGTGAAATTGATAATTTATCAAAATATCTAGAAATGGTTGATTTACTTGATATAACGAGTACAACTGAACACACGAACGCCCAAACCCTTCCAAGTCGCAAAGAGAAGAACAAAAATCATCATTATAGTCCTCCAATCCGCATACAGGGGGTTATTAGCCTTGTCCAATCGGGAAGCTACACGTAGGGATTCTAGAATATCCTTGCTAATGGTGATTGGCTGGAATATCTTCGGCTCCTTCTGAGCCTCTTATAGCTTCCTCGAGTTTACCCGCGGTCCGTCGTCACACCTCCCTCCTTTAAAGTCCGTTGTGTAAGACTTCTTTCTCGGATCCACCTGGAACTTTATGGTCGCATTCCTCTTACGGTCCATCACTCTCGGTGGTTGTACAACTTTTCCCTTGCGTCGTTTTCCTCCTCTATGTTTGCGCTCATGATGGCTTTTCTGAGGTGAATCCACGAGCAATTGAAATGGGAGCCGGCTTCCTGGGACCATTGTACTGCTGTCTCTTTGCATTTGATTTATGTGTCTTATGCATTTTCCGACACCCTTCCGGACTAGGTACAGTACATTTCCGATTCGACGTTCTATGACACCTGGTTCCCATCTCCTATTACCTTGATAGGCTTTGACAAGTACCCTTTCACCCACCTGGAAGCTACGAGTGATCGTACGATACTCATTCATCGGTTTTATTGTCTTCCTAGGTGGCAACATACAGTTGAAGACTGTGCGAATTTTTCTTCCGAACATACACTCGGCTGGTGACTTTCCTTCTGGTACTGCCGGATTGGGGGTAACTCTGTAAGACATTAGGAACTTACTGATCACTTGTTCTGGGATACCCTCACCTCTCCCCTTTACCAGAGCTCTTTTTATCGTATCCACGAATCTTTCTGCTTGGCCATTCGACTGAGGATGGTACGGAGGAGATTGTAGATGCGATATGCCATTTTCACTGCAAAAGCGTTTAAAAGCTGATGACATAAACTGAGTGCCGTTATCGGTCACTAAATCTCTGGAACCCCAAAACAAGCAAACAATCCTGACAATCTTCTTATTGTACTGTCTGATGTCATTTTCGGCATATCATATACTTCTGGCCATTTTGTAAAAGCGTCGACAACAACTAAGTAATTTCTGCCTTGTATTGGTCCGGCAAAATCGGCGTGTATTCTTTGCCAAGGCCCGTCCGGTTTTGGCCATGGTTGTGGTTCAGCTTTCGTTGGATTCTTCGCAGCCTCTAGACAGGACCAACAACTGCGACATTTTTGTTCTATATCACGGTCCATTGACGGCCAGTATGCATAGCTGCGAGCTAGTGATTTCATTTTACTTATCCCCGGGTGCCCGCAGTGAAATTGCTTAATGACTTGGTGCCGAAGGCTTCTAGGGATAACGATACGGTGGCCAAACATGATGCACGAGTCGACAACTGTTAGGGAATCTCGTCGACGAAAATATTGTAAGAGTTCGCCACGTAGTCTAGATGAAGGCCACTTGTTGAGTATGCAGCGGTGAACAATCTTCAATGTATTATCCTTCTTGCTAGCTTCTTTAATGGCTTCGAATGTTACCGGGAGTCCGGAAACTGCGTCCGTTAATACTTTGTGAACTTCAGCCTCGACTTCTATGGCAGCTACAAGCACGTCCTCTTCTTGTTTTGCATGCGAATCAATCAACCTTGAGAGGGCATCTGCCTGTCCGAAGTCGGTTGTTGGTTGGTACTTTATCTTGAAATCATAACCCAGTAGCGTAGTTGCCCATCTCTGTAACCGGTTTGCTGTATATACCGGGATACCTTTTTTAGATCCGAATACTGTCAATAGCGGTTTATGGTCTGTTAGTAAAGTGAACTGTCTGCCAAACAGCATCTTGTGAAACTTTTTTACAGCGAATATGATGGAGAGAGCTTCTTTCTCAATCTGACTGTAGTTTCTTTCAGTCATAGTCAGCGATCTTGCTGCGTGGGCGATTGCTTTCTCAGACCCGTCAGGATAGGTATGTGAAATTACAGCTCCGATTCCATAATTTGACGCATCTGCCGCGACTATAATTGGAAGATCTGGGTCATAATGTGTAAGTAGAAGGTCTGATGATAGGAGCTGCTTTAGTTTTAGGAATGCTTCTTGACATTCGGTTGACCAAAACCATTTGGTATCCTTTTTCAGCAAGCAATTTAGTGGAGCACGAAGGCGATGCAGATCTGGAAGAAAGACGCCATAATGACTAACCATTCCCAAGAAAGAACCTAAAGTTGATACATCCGTCGGTGGGGGCATGGACTTGATGGCTTCAACGTTTTCAGGATCAGGTTTTCTCCCGTTTTTATTGATTATGAATCCCAAATAACGGACTTGCTCCATGTAAAAATCACATTTTTCAGCACGCAACCTGAACCCATAATCTGCTATGCGTCTAAGCACCGTGTCGACCTTACTCTCTAAGTCAGCATAGTCTGTACCCATGATCAGAATGTCATCGAGATACGCCGCAGTACCAGGAATATCTTGTAACATAGTATCCATGACTTGTTGGAAGATTGAAGGGGCTGTTTTTACTCCAAAAGGAAGTCTGTTATATCGGAACAATCCTTTATGAGTGGTTATTGTCAGGTAATGCCTACATTCTTCCGCTACTGGAATCTGTAGATAAGCTTCTGACAGGTCTAATTTTGCAAAATACTTACCCCCATTCAGTTTTGCAAATAAATCTTCTGGTACCGGCAAAGGGTATTGATGAACTTCAAGTGCTTCGTTTAATCCAGTCGAATAATCTGCGCATAACCGGATACTTCCATTTGGCTTTTTGACAATCACTATTGGTGCTGCCCAATCGGAAAAGTTCACTGGTTCTATTATTCCACTACTTTGCAGACGCTCTAGTTCTTGCTCAACAATAGGTAACGCTGCATAAGGTACAGGACGTTTTGGTCTGAAGACTGGGGTAACTCCCGGTTTAAGAATCAGTACTGCTTTTGCCTTTTTGCACTCCCCCAATTCTTCTGTAAACACTTGACTATGTTTTTCTAACACAACGTTCTTCAGATCCTTCTCAACTGGTTTACTGGTTCTTACGGCGCTGCATATGTGGTTGATGGAGTTATTTGTTAATTGTAGTGTTTCTAATAGGTCTAGACCCAGCAAATCTAGTCCTGGGTTCTCTGTGAGATATAGTGTTGCCTTTGTCTTCGCGTTTCCTTTTGAGACTGTGCAACAAACCTCTCCAACAATGTTCAACTTTCCTCCAGAAGCGCTATGAGCTAACTGGGTTGTCGGTAGCACCTGTGGTTTTCCGATAAGTTTCCAGGTTCTTCGACTGATAAGTGTGATGTCGGAAGCAGTATCGAGCTGCAGTGCATTGTGTCTGTATTTCTTGAGATGGGGCTTCGAAGAATGTCGTTTATGGGTTATTTTTCTGCATCTGTTTTCTTTATGGCCCTTTCGGTGACATTTACTGCAATAATGTTCTCTATATGGGCAGAACCTTTTATAGTGCCAACCTCCACACGACCAACATGGAGATGAGGGCTGATTGTCTGTGTGTGATGATTTTCTTGAGCCGGTATCTTTCTTTCCACTTACAGCATGAACGTATGGCAACTGGCCATTATTTTCGACCATGGAAGTGTCGTGTTTTAAGTTTACCAATCTTTGGCACTCTGTGGTTACTTCCTGTAGTGTCATGTTTGGACATTGTTCAATTTTACTCAAAATTCTGGTTCTAATATCGGCATCTTCAGGAGATTGGAGGCTGCACACGAACACTAGACACTTGAACTGATCTTCTGTCAATGCTGATAGTTTGAAGCGCTCACATTCACGGTTTACTAACCCCGCATGCTTCACCCAGTCATCGTCAACTGCTTTTGTTATCTTAAGACATTGATAACGGATATTAAACAAAGATGACTGTTCAGCGAATATTTGCGACAAAGTTTCGATCGTTGAATCAAAAGAAAAATCTCTTGGATTCTTTGGAAGGATAAAATTACTGTAACGTTCATGTTCAACAGTTCCAAGTTTTCGTAAGAGTATTCTGACCTTAGCGGCGTCATCAAGTTTTTTGAGGTCGACCTTGAACAAATCTTCATATTTGTTGAACCAGGTTTCAAAAGTAATACCAGTTGAAGCATCGAAGTTAAATTCATGGATAGAATCGATGATATGGTCAACATGAGATTTGAAGGGATCATTTGCAACTTCTTTTTGATTCAGGTTCATTTTCTGGGTCAGTGTTTCTATCATGCGCATCTGGAACTGTTCGAAACGTTTTTCTTGACGTTCCAATAAGGCTTCAAGTTGTTCAAAGGTAAATGACATCTTGATATGATAACCCGTCGCCAGTTGTTATATCTAGAAATGGTTGATTTACTTGATATAACGAGTACAACTGAACACACGAACGCCCAAACCCTTCCAAGTCGCAAAGAGAAGACAGAAGACTAGTGAAAGGAATGTTATTCCAAACAGAGTCAATTATGGGTACAAATTGTCAGGTATTTATAGTTTTAGTAAGAACAAAAATCATCATTATAGTCCTCCAATCCGCATACAGGGGGTTATTAGCCTTGTCCAATCGGGAAGCTACACGTAGGGATTCTAGAATATTCTTGCTAATGGTGATTGGCTGGAATATCTTCGGCTCCTTCTGAGCCTCTTATAGCTTCCTCGAGTTTACCCGCGGTCCGTCGTCACAGTAGTAATAAGTTTGCTGAATAGTGTTATCTAATATGAAACCTACTACTCGAAGTGGATATGTAACAGCCTTATTAGTTGTACTTTCACCCTGTATATTTCAATCATCTTGAAATATATATATATATATATATATGGTGGCTCTAATAAGATGTAATATCATTCCAATATTTCTCACTAGTTTACGATGATACTTTATGCTTTGTAGGTTTCAGCGTACATGAATAGCCTTTATGTTATCATTGTTTGTTTCCAAGAAGTCAAGTATCACTTTTATTAAGCTTATATAACCTTGGGAGATGTAAACTAATATATACTTCTGTTAATTAATATCACATCAATGACATTATGTTCTTACATTTGTACAGTTGCAAGAATGATCTTATTACGGCTCGTTGAAGGGACGAACTCCATAGATTCAAGAGATACGGATACAAACACGTGAAGCTCGTCTGGCTGTGACTTTTCATGATTCTTGATCTCTGTGCTTTCAACTGACTTATTATTTGTCATTTGTTCCGATTCAAATTCATTTTTTGGAGAATCGTCTGCGACATGCTTTTATCCTCTTTTTAAATTTCCCATACCACAAAATTTGTTAGTTAGTATTTCGTCAAATAATCATTTATGTCTATAATAACGACCATATATTTCAACGAAATTTTCGCTGTTTTTAATTTGCGAGTCATAAGCACGAAACCAGCTAGCTACCTAGTTGTGAGATATCTGCTATGACCTGTGGGGGGGTGTTCCTCCATAATAATGCGAACGGACCGCAGCCAAGTAGTCTGCATCTACCAACATGGCTCAGACCAGAAGTTAGTGTCTTCAATCATTGATGCCATGTCTTGGTTTGGCTGCCCCCAACTTTCTTCCAACCAACACCGGTTAGCATTGCGCGTTGTGGTAATCGGTGTTCAGGCATACGCAACACGTGGCCCAACCATCTCAGTCGACGAAGATTCATAACCTCATCAAATAGTCGGCCATCATTCCCTAATACCCTGCGTCTAGCCTCACTGTTACTCACTCGATGATCCAAGCAATATTTCTAAAGCATCTGTGGTCAAATACTAGTAACTTACGAGTATCTTCTACTCTTAAAGGCCATGTTCCGCAGCCGAACTGTCGCGCAGTATACTCGTCCTTTTATTGATAGACGGATATCTCGCCTGCGCCATAGATGACGTAAGTTGGCGAAAGCCAAACGAGCTTTTCGAGTCTGTTCTGAGATTCCCTCAGACATCAACCCATTAGGGCAGATCAGACTTCCAAGATAAGTGAAGTTGTCAACGCGTTCTACTATTTCACTCCCTATCCTTAGTTCAGGTGTTGACGCAGACCAGTCTTGAAGCAATAACTTGCATTTAGAGGGAGATGAGCGCATTCTGGCATTGTTGCTCAGTGCTACCAAAAGATCCTGCATTTTATCAGCGTCTTCACCAAGCAGGATTATGTCATCTGCTTATTCTAAGTCGATAAGTTGACAGTCAGTTAAAGTTCATTTCAGATAGTTCATACGGTGGTGGTCACATATCTATCTAGTCTTTTTAGATTTTTACTGAATCACGCAAGTGACTATTTCAATAGTATCACGCTCGCACAAGAACTGCTCACAACATCGAGTGTTTAATCTGATGACATTTGGATCATCACTACTTGTCACAACTAATCTTTTACACATCTATATTTGGACTGCTGTCCAATTAGCTACATTTCAATATCATTATAATAGACAGTCCTCCTTAGGACACAATCATTAGCATGTAAAGTTTAAGAATAAATGGCAGCAGTTAGAGTGAATTCTAGCTAGAGTTACCATAAAGCAAATAATCTATTTTACAAATTATGTGGTATATTTTGATTCATATTCTCCAATAAACACCAACCATATTTGTTTAGAATTATTTTATAGTAACTTTATTCTGAAAAAGTTATCAAAATCTCAGTCTCTAGAGATGATAAACATGATATTACCATGAAGATGCCACAGGTATTCGGAGTTTGACAACGCTTTAACCAGTAACACCTAATACGAAGCGCACCCACCAAGTAAAATCAAAAGACAGAAGTGAGGAGATCGAAGATATATTTGATAAGCTATCAATATATCGAGGATCGTTTGGACTAATCTGGCTAGCGATTGCGGCAGATGTTGAGCACGGCGTTCCCACACGTGATCTGGTGCGGATGCTTAACCGAGCGCCTCCAGCTAGATGAGTCCACTAAAACTGTGGTCAGCATCCAATGTCGAAAACTTACAGAGCTATTTGATTTTGGGAAATTATTTACCGCTACAGATCACTCCTCCCCTAGTGGGGTAGTGATGACCCTAAGACGTGGCCAGCCAGGAGTTTAAACCCAACGAGTTTTTTCGTTGGTAAACACTTCTGATAGCTTGCTAGGTTTAGCAGCGTCTGGTCGTCTTTCCTTACTATAATGGACCACGGTGTACAATATAGTAAAAAAAAGGTACAATGAAGATTTTCGTTTCTCGCAACTTCATCGTCTTTTCCAGTCGTCCTGGATAAGAAAAGAAAAATATGTAAGTGCATGTCGGAATACACTCGTACGCGCGTGAAAACACAAAACGGGCGAAGAAAAAGGAAAACAAACTCATGCTCACGTATTAGCGTAAAAAAAGGATTTTTATAATATCGTTATTTTTTTTGTTTCTTCTTTTTTGAAATAAAAAAGATAATAAAAATATATAAGCATATTAAATTCGGGTTTTTTTTAATAAAAAAAATTATATATAGTACCAGGGAAAATCGAGAGGATATAAAATGTTAACTTGTGTCTTACGTGCAGTAATCGTTCAAACGTTCTGGAAATCTTACTCTTCTTCCAGAACGCGTTGTTTTGAGTTGATTTTCGGATACTGTCGAAGTATCAACGTGTGTGTCTGCTGTCGATTGAGGTATTATAAGGGCAGGAGTTGTGTCGTGCGATTGTATTGAAGGAAAATCGACGTGAATAGGATTTCCTTCTAAATACGCTGCTTTAAAGCGATCGATACTGATGCTTTCGTTGGTTCCGTTCTTATTGATTATATAGTACTTAGATTCGCGTTGAAGAACTTTGAAAGGTCCTTCATATGTTGATTCGAGTGCTCGTCGATGCGAGTCTCGACGTACGAAAACGTGTGTACTGTATCGTAAGTCAGGTTGAACGAAAACATCAGTTGATTGTCGTCGAGTGGAAACAGGTTTAACTGAACGCATTGCGTTTGTAAGCTTGTTCGTGTAGGAGGTTAGATCCATGTTCATCAAAGAGGACGAAGGATCCACGAACTCTCCTGGAAGTCGAAGGGTCGTACCATAAACGAGTTGAGACGCAGTGTATCCAATGTCAGCTTTCACTGCATTGCGAATACCTAGTAAGACGAGTGGAAGAGCGTCAGTCCACTGAGAAATGTTTGAGGCTGATAGTGACGCTTTTAGTTGTCGGTAAAAACGTTCTACTAACCCGTTTGCTTGTGGGTGGTAGGCCGTCGTTCTGAAGCGAGTGATTCATAATTTTGCGGTCACACAATGGAAAAGTTCAAATTCGAACTGGCGTCCACGATCTGCAGTGATGGCTGTTGGGCACCCAAAATTTGCTACCCATCGTTCGACAAAGGCGCGAGCCACTGTTTCAGCAGTAATGTCCTTGATGGATACTGCTTCTGGCCATCGAGTAAAACGGTCTACGCAGGTTAAAAGATAAGAATATCCATTTGAATCTGGTAAAGGTCCAACCAAATCCAAATGAACATGGTCAAAGCGAGCATCGGGAGTGCTAAACTTGTGGAGATAGGTCTGTCAAACTTATTTTTGTAAATAATTTTTATTATTATTTGTATTCATTTTGTCAACCTTTCACTGTGTGTACATTTATTATTAAATCATTGTACCTGTTGTTTTAGTAAATGACCTTGATCACTTTTTCCGTTGTGATACTAACATAGCGTGACACTTTCTGTGATTGTCCCAAATACACTACTACACACATGCCTCTCGTTCTAAATTCACTTGCATTTGTGTTAACTGAAGTCTAAAGCAAGTACCATTTATCTTTACAGACGATAATTGGAATATACCATATTTATTACTTAATCATATCATTGGGGAACCCATCACACTCGCAGGAATTATTAATCATCTATAATTGTGGATATTTAACACCAGATCAAATTGGAACACGTGCTCTCCTGGTAAAATAAGTAACGTTCCTTATTTCTATTGTGTTTATGACATTTAACTTATATATCTTTAAATATTGCTATTTGTTATAAATAACTATTATTACCTTTTGGATTAATATATTATCTGGTCCACCACAACTAGTCTAGGGGACATTTGTTATGCCTAATAACCTTAGATTTCTGGCAGCTTACACAGGAGCGTGCCCACTCCCTCACGTCTTTATTCATACCAGGCCAGCAAAACCGTTCTGCTATAAGCTTGATGGTTGCACGAACACCTGGATGAGAAAGTTTGTGCAACGTATTAAAGACGTTGCGTCGATAATGTTTCAGCATGATTGGGCGATCCCTACCTGTAGGTGTGTCACAAAGTAAGGTTTCCTTATCTGTTCCCATCTGTTTAATTCGCAGTTTAAGTGTTAGTGAGGACAACTCATGCTGAAGATCATTGTCTTCTTTTTGAAGCAGGGCGAGTTTTAAAAGGTCGATTCCTTATAAACTGTTCAAGGAATTTATACGAGACAAGGCGTCTGCAACTACATTGTTTGCTCCAGAAATGTGTCGAATATCTGAAGTAAACTGCGAAATGTAGTCCAGTTGTCGAGACTCACGTGGTGAGTACTTGTTCGAAGAAGAGCTTAAGGAGAAGGTAAGTGGTTTATGGTCGGTAAAAATGGTAAATTCACGGCCTTCGATGTAGTGTTGAAAATGCCGGACAGCACAATACATAGCTAGGAGTTCCCTACCGAATGTGCTGTACCTCGATTCAGTGTCTAGCAACCGTCTAGAGAAAAATGCCAAAGGTTGCCAGGATTGGTTAACCCATTGTTGTAAGACTGCTCTGATTGCTCAGTCGGATGCGTCTACTGCGATATTAATGGGCGCTTCAGTGTCCTGATGAACAAGCATCGTTGCTTGAGCGATACATTTCTTGACTGTGGAGAATGCTTTTCGTGTAGTGTCATCTAGATTAATGGATTTCGCATTTCCACGAAGTTGGTCGGTAAGAGGTTTCATAAGGGACGCGCACTTTGGTATGAATCGTCTTGTGGTGGACCAGATAATATATTAATCCAAAAGGTAATAATAGTTATTTATAACAAATAGCAATATTTAAAGATATATAAGTTAAATGTCATAAACACAATAGAAATAAGGAACGTTACTTATTTTACCAGGAGAGCGCGTGTTCCAATTTGATCTGGTGTTAAATATCCACAATTATAGATGATTAATAATTCCTGCGAGTGTGATGGGTTCCCCAATGATATGATTAAGTAATAAATATGGTATATTCCAATTATCGTCTGTAAAGATAAATGGTACTTGCTTTAGACTTCAGTTAACACAAATGCAAGTGAATTTAGAACGAGAGGCATGTGTGTAGTAGTGTATTTGGGACAATCACAGAAAGTGTCACGCTATGTTAGTATCACAACGGAAAAAGTGATCAAGGTCATTTACTAAAACAACAGGTACAATGATTTAATAATAAATGTACACACAGTGAAAGGTTGACAAAATGAATACAAATAATAATAAAAATTATTTACAAAAATAAGTTTGACAGACCTATCTCCACATAGCTCCCCCCAGAGTTTCCGGAGGTAAAACTGGTTGTAATAAAAAAATGTCAGAATATGATATATACATACGTACAAAAATAATATTTACAGTTATAAACAACAAAAATTGTGGAGATGGACATGATATATGCGTTAGTAAAATGCGTTGTGTTAGCGTTTGAGGATAGTAGTAATGTAACATAGCGTAACGAACAGAGAAAAAATAATGAAAACACTGTCAATGATAATAATGTGTAAAATTGTAAATGACGGACACGCACACACACACAAAAAAATGAACTGTTTATTTGTGTACATTGAATACGTAATTACTCGTTTATTATTGTAACAAAAAAAAATTATATATATATATATATATAAAATGTGACGAAACGAATAATTGTGGAAAAAAAATGATTAATTATGTACACTGTGAAAAAGGGAAAAAAAAAACATTGAGTAGGATTGATATTGTGGGTCCTTGATGATTGTTTGTTTTGATTGGTTGTAATTTTTTTTTTTATACGGCGAAATGTACATAACGTTTTGGTTTTTTTACAAGTCTCCCAGAACGTGTTAAACAAGAGGGGGTACTGTTAAGTTTTTGTTCTTCCTCTTGTTTCTTAGCGATAGATGGGAGTGGTGATTCGTTCGTAGTATTGTCTTCCGCGTCTTGAAGAACTTCGTAGAAAGCCGGTTTTATTCGGTCTATGGAAATTGTCTCGTTCCTTCCATTTTTATTGATGATGAAATGTTTGTTTGTTCGTTTAATTACTTTGTAAGGTCCTTCGTACGGTTGTTTCAATGGTTTTCTCACTGCGTCGACTCGAACAAAAACGAATTTACAGGCCTCTAGATGTTTATCAAGTTGTATGCGGTTGTCATGTTCACGCGGAGGTATCGCTTTAATGCGTTGCATCGTTTGTAATAGTCGGCTTGCGAAACCATTTGGATCATTTGACATTATTGATTCTTGATCGACCAACTGACCCGGTAATGTTAGTGTAGTACCGTAAACTAGTTCAGCTGAAGTGCATCCTAAATCCTCCTTGATGGTTGAACGGATTCCCAGGAGTACAAGTGGTAGTGCGTCACTCCATTTTGTTGTATCAGTTTGTGCCATCAGTGCGCTTTTCAATTGGCGGTGAAATCTTTCGACCAGACCATTAGCCACTGGATGATAAGCTGTCGTTTTAATGTGGTTCACACCCAGAAGTCTTGTGAATTCCTGAAATAAGATAGACTGAAACTGGGGACCACGATCTGTAGTGATGATAGATGGTACTCCATAGTTTGATATCCATCGGTCAAGGAATGTAGCGGCTACTGTCTCTGCAGAGGTGTCGGCGATGGGACATGCTATAGCCCATCTTGTGAATCTGTCCACCGATGTGAGTATATGCGTGAATGATTTTGATGGCGGCAAGGGACCGACTATATCTAGATGGATGTGTTGGAAACGCTTCTCCGGCAAAGGGAACTTCCCAACAGGACTGACTGTGTGTTTTTGAATTTTGCTGCGTTGACATTGTAGGCAGCTTCGAGTCCATCGTTTTATATCTGAGTTAATCTTTGGCCACACGAAACGTTCGGTAATCAGTTTAGTTGTGGCTCGGATTCCTGGATGTGAAAGACCGTGTAAGTGTCGGAATATTTCTCGTCGGCAAGCGTATGGGACGAAAGGGCGGTTGTTGCCTGTTGAGGTGTCGCACATGATGAAAGTATCTGAGAAAGGCATGGGTATTGGTTTAAGATTCAAGTTAGACTTCTCTTGGCAGGCTTTCAATTCTGCATCGTCTACTTGGAGTTTAGCTAAAGTTTCTAGACTGATGTTATGGTTGTGTACCATCATATTGATGTCCTTTCTAGATAGTGCATCTGCAACAATGTTCATGTTACCTTTGATAAAGCGGATGTCTGTAGTAAATTGAGAGATATAATCAAGTTGTCTTGCTTCTCGTGGAGAATGTTT